TTCTTCTCAAGATCACTGGACCATGAATATTCATTTATCAGGCACATATTACATTTTGAAAGTTTTGTGTGTTAATTGCCAGGAGGGGGATGCAGCCAGGAAAATAATTGAAACTTACCTGAAAAATCTAAGACAATTAAGTAAAAAAAAATAAAATAAGATTTTGGTTATCATGTGATTTAAAAAAATGGGGGAACTAGGTTCCAATTTTTTTGCAAATTTTTTTGTTTATGGAATTGACTATACCATAACAAAAAGTGTGTGTGGGGGGGGGGGGGGGGGGGGGAGGGGTCGACCTTCCTTTCAATGAACTTTTTCACACTAAATCAGCAGTAAAAGATTATATTCAGGAAAAAAGTGGGGTCAGAGTTTTCCATGGGAATAAATAGGTGAAAAAAAATTAAAATCTGATAAAGAAACAGATTGAGATCCAAGTTTTATATTCAGGCAAGTGTTTTTGCCCATGGGTTTGTTTAGATTATTTGAGAAAAAAATAATTTTGTTGACAGCAGTCTTTTACAGCATATTACAATGTACAATCCAATTTTCTAGTAATTTCATAATAAACTTGGAGATGCCCTTTTATGATTTGAGATCTTCCCTGCAAAAATCAGCACTGATTTTTACATTAATTTTATTGTTTCACTTAAGAACACCCTATTATATATAAATGCTATATCAATGAATCAGTATTATATATTAATATCAAATTTATGAAAAAAAGTTCTATAGCAAAAATGAATTAGCTCCAACATCCTAGCTACAGACCCTGAAACGTGCCACTACCCCACACGCACGCTGCACGAACGGTACACGCTCGCTACACGGTTTGCACGAAACGCTACACGGTTTACACGAAAGGCTGCACGGTTTACACGAAAGGCTGCACGAAACGCTTTGTACACGTTTCTCACACGCTTTGTACACGATTCTCGCACGCTTTGGCCTCGATCTGGATTTTCTATTCGGAACCTCTCGGGTTTTATTTATTTTTACGGGTTAAATATAGATTAATTAAGAGTCGCAATCTTTCACAGTAAGTTTTAAATTAAAACTCTCTACACCTGTACTACATGTTTATAAACCGATAGAAATATTCAAAGTTTAGTAGTTAATAATTCATGATTGTCATTCCGTTTGTAATCCACTTGTTTTAAGGTGATATGCCCATCATCGTCAGTGTACATCCTTTTTTCACTAAAGTCTAAATTATACACTGCAAGAAAAACATTTATATTCGTCCCTCATAATTTCTTTCGGCACTATTTTTTTTTATAGTATTATATCAAAAACTCGTTTATTACCGAAATATAACTTTAGTTATTAATTCTAATAAATATTATACTTTGCTTTATTTCCTTGAACGAATTGATTTTCTTATGATTTAGCAATGAGTTTATTTTATTTGATTAATTCAGGTTCCCTCTTTAATATGCAAAATTAATAAGTACTTTGCAGAAAAGAGGATGATTATGCTTTTTTTGGGGGGGGGGGGGGGGTTTGTTTTTTGGTGGGGGGGGGGTTACTGAGATCTTACATGTGTATCTGTAAATCTGACATGGCTAAACACCACCGGCAGTAGTTTCAGTAATTATGCTACCGAGAAAAAATATTAGAGAAACAAGTAACTGTGCTTAAGAATATTCATGTCTTCAGCTAGATTAGATTAAATAAACCATTTTATACCAAATGGTACTTTGAACATTTAAACGTTTTATTACAGAGTTTAATTTAACATTAGAATTCTATTTGGAAAAATGGAAGAAAAACCCGCGGGGGGGGGGGGGGGGGGGATATAAAGGATAATTAGCTCTCTCTACATGTACCTTAAATAACAACAATATACATGTATCCATTACCTTGTAAATTCCTTTATTAGAAAACTCGGTAGAAGGGAAATTTTATGTAATTTACAAATAGTCACGGCACTCAACTTACCATGCAATGTTTGTGTATACATGTCTAAGTACATTACATGATAAGTGAAATATTTCAAAAAATACAAATTAAAGCTGCCTGATTTATAAAACAATTGATATGTAATTATTATTTATAATTTATTTCTAAACTCTTTTTTGTTATGACTGCCGAACAATCCACTGTTCACGGAAATTCGGGTCGATCAAAAAATAAAATTCACGGGTATTATGTGTACCCATTAAATACATGTAAAAAAAAAAAAAAGCATTTAATATCACAAATTTAAACTCAATCGTTATTCTCGGGTGTATTTAATCCATGATTGTTAAAAGATAAAGGCAGAACAAGTTTTCAGTTCCCTGCCCGTGGAGCTCGTGGTCCCTGTTGTAAATGACCTTGATCACATTCACACTTTGCAAATGGGAAGTTGAAGATTTAAATATCCCAATATATTTCAATTATTAATCAAAAAATGCTCTGTATTAGAAGACTATTAATGACACACAGTTTTGATTAAAATCATTTAATACATTTGATAATGAATAGACAAGAGTGGAGTCCTGATAAAATTTCGTTTGAAATTGCGTTTGTTGCTTTCTTTGGAAAATAAAATAAAAAAGCTATGATCACTCCGATAGTGCATTAAAATCAATTCATTAAAATTTTTTCACATACACTGTAATTACAAGTAAATAACTTGAATGAATTCTCTGTTCATCTTTATTTTTGAGAAGAAAAAAAAACAAATTAAATATACATTACCGTGTAATTTTATTTTGTTGCTCACATACTTTTTTTTTAATTTCACTATTAAAATACATCCAGTATAATATATCCGATTAATATTAGCTATAAAAAACACTATTTGACATCCTGACCCATCGATAGCCATATTTAAAATGAAATGACTTCCGAATGAATCCTACACGTTTCTCACACGATTCTTGCACGAAAGTCGCACGTTTCTCACACGGTTCTTACACGAAAGTCGCACGTTTCTCACACGCTTCTCGCACGCTCGCTACACGGTTTGCACGAAACACTTTGGAGCTTACACGAAACGCTGCACGGTTTACACGAAACGCTACACGGTTTACACGAAACGAAAAGCGCACGAAAGTTACACGCTTTTTGGGGGTAGTAGCACGTTTCAGGGTCTGTACTTAGAGACAAACAAAAAAGAACTATCTATCAACCTGTAAAATGTTCATTTATAGTCACAATTCAAAATGATATGCTTGACATGAATAAAATCCGATTCAAATGGTGAGAGATTGTGTAACATACATAAAATTAATAATTTAAGGTGCTAATTTTCTTTATTGATTTACAAAAGGAGGCTTAAATAGTTCTTATTTCTTATACTTATAAGGTATTCTCTATAACATTAGATTTGGGTATCCTTCAGAAACATCTGTATTATTCTAGCTAGTATTTGTATGTATTTGATCCATTTCCATCTGTAATTTGACATTTTGCACAACAGGATTTTGTATCTCTATCTGTCCATTTTTAAGAACATTGTCACTGATTTGAGCATTTATGCTGCTTGATTCATTTTCACAAGAAAAAGTCCCCATTTCCATTGAAAAATTCTGTAAATCATTCAAAGTTACTGTATTATTATATGAAGTTGGAGGGATAGAGTAACTCCTTTCTAGTTTCTTAGGGGATTCTGAGAGCCTGGAAACCTTGTCACATGAAGGACCTGCAGTTTTTGGACGACATTCTTTTGAGGCACAGACAGATCCCAAACCATTGTTAATTTTGATGGGTTTTACTTTCATAATGGTTACTCTTGGTGTTTTCACTTTGGTCTTTGAAAACAGTTTCTTAAAATGTTTATACCATTCTTCTATTTTTCTGTTAAAAACAATGTAAAATATCACATGAAGCAAAAGTAGAACAACTAATAAGGTTGCCAAGGTAATAGAAATGGTCACTTCCTTTGGTGACACACTCACATTAATCACTTGGTCACTTGTGGACATTGTATCACACAAAACAGTCCCAAACAACTTCAACTCAGTGTATGGTGGTAAACAAGTTTCTGGAAGAAATGATTAGAAAACACTGAATACATTGGGCAAAATATCCAATTATTTCATGCCTGCAATCAGTGTGATTTATGTCTATTCCCCTGGAAAAAGTTACACAATACTGAATCAAAGCATAATAATGCTCAAGTACACATGAGGATGTAGCTTTGTTTGCCAGAGAGAGCCACAAGAAGCTTGTAAATATATTTTATCAATATTATTAGTTCATAAAACACATATTTCACACATGATAAATGTTTTCATCACAAATATGTCAGATATTCATCACTGTTGTCTCGCCCTGTTGCTTTGCTGAAAATTACAGGTCCAGCATGAAAGTTGATTCTTGTTGGTCATATGTATCAAATTATTGCCAAGTGATATTCTTTCAATTGATTTTGTTCACCATATCAAGTTCACTGTACCCTTAATGCCAGAACACCCAGTTTATGTCACATTTGGGGTGCAACAAACTTTATTTTAACCACTCCATCATCAAACAAAGTTAGTTTATATTTGATTTTCAGAGTAAAAACCAAACACCTAAGCTGGGGGAAAAGCTAAAAAGGAAAAAGTTTCAAATATTAACTGCTTTAAATAAAATGAAGATCAATGAATGAATTAGGGAGATATGAAAAGGATCTTGGTGTGTGGCAGTCTGTACAATGTTAGTTACATCCCATATTACTTTGCCATTGGATGAATTCCTACCAACCCATTGATCCAAACTCATTATTGACAGCAGTCACTGCAAGCCTACATAGTGGCTTCAAAAATCACAATATCCTAACATTTGCCTGAAACTGCTACACAAATTAACACTCATTATTCTTAACTATTAATCATCTTTCTGCTAATTTTATTTGCTCTGCACTTGTTTGTGTTTTCATTGTATCAAAGTAACCTCACATTCGTAAAAAGCTTCAATTCTTTGGTTTTCAGAGTTTAAGACAATCAGTGTTTCTTAACATTTTTAAAGAAAGTTCCCACTTGCTCAGAAAAGACAAACAGCTTTTATACTCAAATGGAAATAAGAAAACACAAAAGAATCTAAAGATATTTAGTCATTTATTTGCACAAAGGAGACAAAATTTTCCTGTGTAAGTTTATGTAGTACAGTTATAGCAGTGGTATTTGCATGATTTTAAGGTTTTTGGATTTCCAACATCCGTTTTCAAAGGAAAAATAAAAACTTTTTTTAAAAACATACAGCAAAAAGTCTAAGAAATATAATTCAGTGAATCATTGCAGTCGTAGTTTGACTTTTAGGTTTCATAGTTTGAAGTTCTGTGCTTGATTTTCCAGGACTGACTGTTTTTGTTAGGAAGCTTTTCACTTTAGCTTTAGCACCAGCACCAATCCCAAAACTGCTAGATGGTAGAGGGTCTCCAAAATCACAAGTGATCATGGTTTCCATTGCCTCAGCATCACCTCTTCTGTATCCACTTTGTTTAGCAGACAATTTCCGTTTCTTTTCTCCATGTCTCCTACGAACTCTGCATAAAATACATATAATAGGTCCCAGAATGACAGTCAGTCCTATGAGTGCTCCTACTATAATACCAAAGGTGGAAGATGGGGATAGTGTAGATTCTGCAGGAATAGGAATCTTTTCAACCATTTCTTGTGGTGTAGTTAATTCTGGCATTATTTCCATTACAGCCATAGTTACCCCCATCTTGTTCTGTGATGGAGTTGATGGAGTAGTTCTATTGATTGGAACAGTGATAAGTTGTTCATGATTTATCACATGTACCTTGTCCCCTTTTTGTATTGTGATTTCAGTATCCACATTCAGTGTGGCAACTTTTTCTGTAGTAGTTGTCAAGCTGTCTCCTAAAATATGAGCGAGGTCTGAAATGGCTTTATTGTTTGATTTAGAAGATTGTTGAACTATACCAATGGCTTGTTGGATGATTTCTTTTGTTTGAACTTTATTGGCAATGGTTGTAGGGTTAGATGGTTGTTTTGAAGGTTTGTGGGGAGTCTGAGTCCATCTACTGTTTGAAATGTTTTGAGGAGCCTGTGCACTTGAAGGAAAATTTGAATTGGATGGTAGTCTTGGATTTTTTATCAGAGTTGCAAAGTTTTGTGGAATGTATTTTGATGAAAACCTGAAACTTGCTCCAGTCCTAGGAATACTTGTTTTGTTTACTTCTTGTTCTACCAATTCAGCGGGTTTAGATGTAGGTACTGGCTCTCTTTTTTGTTGCTCAATATTTTCTAACTGCTTTGTCCAAGGTGGTGGAGGGACATTTCCTTCATATCTGTACTGCATTTTGATTTTTGTTTCCCTGTTGTTGATAGCATCCATTATAGATGACAGTGACAAGTCTTTGTTGTTTCTCTGTCTGTAAACTTCATCCAGAACAGATCTGATCACATCAATATTGGTTTTGGTTCGGCTTTCTTCTTTATCTTTATCCACTTCTTTTTCGACATCTCCACCTTGTTTTTCTCCATCAGGGTCAGGTTTCTTTGTTCCCTGTAAATTTGAGCTTTGTTGTATTGAGGAAGGTGTCCATGGTTGATATCTCTGTTGTTGAAATGGCCATGCTTGATTTGTTCTTTGCTGTTGAGGAGAGGAAGCCAGCCATCCCTTTGAAGGCATTTGACTCTGTATCTTTTGGACATTCTGAATTCCTTGACTCATGATTTCACTTGTTGCAGGTTCTCCTGTCTGATTTGTCAGGGTCAACCCATTCATTCTTTGTCTAGGCATTTGAGACCAACTTGCTTGATTGTATGGAGGAGGATTATATGGGGGCTTGTTCTCAATAGCCTTTGCCCTATCATTTTTGTTCTCCAGGTGGTCAGGGATATCAGGTTGATATGACTGAGCCCATGGATTAAATCCAAAAGCATTAAAACCATAATTATAAGGATTGTAAGGATAGTTCTGGGAAACATTCATTGTCTTTGATTGGAAATGTGTTCCATTTATTCCACTTGAGTTATTAGTTTCATTTACTGAATCAATCTGTCCATGGTGTAAGAACTCAGCTAGTTTGGGTTGAATTGTTTTTGGCACAGCTGAATTTCGTCTTGAGAATGCCATTGTTATGTTAGCTGTACTGTTTTCACTTGGAGAATCGATTCCCTTCCAGACTCCAGCTCTTGTGTGAGGCCTCATGGGAAATCCTGTTTTGGGGTCAGTACCCACACCAGGGGGTCCATGGTCCATAATAGGGACTTGCATAGGATGCGGAAAAGCCATAGGGGGAATAATATCAAATGCTCCAAGGTTACCAGCATACTGATTCACTGCATGCATAGCTTGCATAGCTTGCATTCGTTGATACATTGTATCCAGCCCATCAGGAAGGTCAGGATCTAGCAAATGAAATCCAGGGCCAGTGAAAGGTGGACCTTGACTCCAAGGTCCATATGGAGACCCATTTAGGGGTCCATTGTCCCAGTTTCCATTAGGATGTCCAGTATTTGCATTTAGTGGCCCATTATTCCAATTACCATTAGTTGGTGCACTTTGCAAATTTCCAGTAGGAGCATTTCCATTCCATTTACCATTTGATGGCCCATTATTCCAATTACCATTTGGTGGTCCACCATTCCAGTTACCATTTGGTGGTCCACCATTCCAGTTACCATTTGGTGGTCCACCATTCCAGTTACCATTTGGTGGTCCACCATTCCAGTTTCCATTTGGTGGTCCACCATTCCAGTTACCATTTGGTGGTCCACTATTCCAGTTACCATTTGGTGGTCCATTGTTCCAGTTTACATTAAAACGTCTGTTATTGTTTTGCTGACCATTGTTCCATTTATTATTTGAGGATGGTACATTGTTGACCTTTGTACCAGAGGGTCCATTCTGTAAATTGCCAGTGGTCCAGATTGGTGGCCCACCATTCCAGTTTCTGCTAGATACACCATTATTCCAGTTTTGAGTTCCTGGGTTCATGGGCTGTCTGTTTTGAGGTCTGTTGTAAGTGTTTCTATTTTGATTGGAGTCAGCAGTTTGAAAAGTTTGTTGAGGAGAATTTAAGTTATTTTGTACATTTTCTTTTCTTCCATTAGATGAATTTATTGAAATTGTTTGATTTCCTGGAAATCCTGATTTTGAATTTTGACCTGTCAAATAGAAAAAAAAAACATTAAAAACTTTTTACTTGAATTGAAGGCATTTTTTTTTATTTGATTCAGGTTGCATTTCATTGTAAATCATAAAAATGGAACTTTTAAAGGACTATATTCGGTAATGACCCAATATTTGTCCCTAAAATCAAACTTTGACAGAGAAATATATAATAATGATCTAAAACGGAGGGATATCTGCAGACTTCAATGTGTTGAATATTTTCATCAGCCATGACACCATCAGAAAAATGACATAAATTCAAAATTTCCATGATTAATACAGAAAAGGTATATATTACGTCGATATTTTGAATAAAAGGCACGGAGCACAGGTCTGCTCTAACTCAATGTTTTGATATACTGTGAAGAAAGATAATATCAATTAAATATGTGAATATTGTCCTGGAGCAGGTCTGCGCTTTATAAATTTTGTAGTAAAAAATGAACAAATTTTGTTCCTTTTTTTTCTCTTTCTGAAAAATAATACAAAATCCAAATAGTTTGTGATGTCATAGAAACAAAAATTGTCAAACCTACTTCAAAATTATGATATTTTCAGTTGATTTAGATTTTTCATACAATTCAGCACTTTTCAATAAATTTTCAAAATTTGACTTTAATGGGGGGCAAAAATATGCATGTACGGCATATAGCTCTTTGCATACCTTGTCATTGGTCATTTGCAAACTTATTTTGTTAAAACACACTTTGATTCTACACACAAGTATTCCTAAGTTGATATTAATAAGATGCTTGAGTTTCTCATTGACAGTATCCATATAGTTTTTGGAGATCAGATCTTCCAACAATCTGCTGGAATCCCCATGGGAATCCATGGGTATTGTTTTTGTATTCTTATGAAGCACTATACCAGTATTCATTGACAAAAACTTCTACATGAAAAGAAAAAGTCTTTTGCTCTGACCTTCAATTCAACATTTAGATATATCAGTGAAGTTTAACAAGTAACAATTCATTTTCACTCTTATGTTCATTCAATATATCACACATGGAACTCAGAATGAAAGACACCTTAGAGTCTGATACACCTGCTTCGTATTTGGATATTTTATTAGAGAAAGACATTGATAGCAAACCAACAACTAAACTTTATGATAAATGTGTGATGACTTGCAACTTTTCTTTTGTCGAAGTCCCTTATTTATGTAGCAATATACCATTATAACCTGCAGTTGATTTGATACACAAGAGCAAGTTCTATGTATGAACAATTTCTGAAAGGAGGCAGGCTATTGACAAATAAGTTGATGATTCAAGGATTAATGATTTAACATTATGCAAATTCTATGGTTGATACGATGACTCTGTTTTTCAAAAACAGTCTGTCGTAAAGGCTATTATTTTAACACTGAATTGTCAATGAATTTTTCCAATCTTGACAGAGGCACATGGTGGATGTAACCGGTTGAAAGAGGATGCTTAGTCCTACATGCACCTAATCCCATCTCTGTTTTTAGAGGTCCTAGTTGGCTCTGCTCACAATTTATATTGTAAATGGACTTTTGAGTATGATTGCTGTTTGTTATCTTCATATTTCATGTATTAGTAAAACTAGAAAATGTGCTAATTCATCAACATGCATTTTTCCAAGAATGCTTTATGGTCTTAAATAATATAAGACTATGAAGACCAAAATGTTTCCTTGAATGCCCTAAAATACAGTATCTTTTGTAGTACAGGTCCCAGGATCCTGAATCAGTCGTAAATTTCAGTAATTCATAAAATGAATATTAATTATACACTGATAATAAAAATTAAAATTAACAACATGAAAGGGAAAGAATTTTCAATAACATTTCAAACAGCTAGGTTCACTAAATCCATAAAATGGTCCTGTCCATATACCAATTAACCGACCAAGTCCCAATGTTCCATTTCAAACATTAATATAAAACAGAGAGTAAGTGTTTTCATTTCCTATAAAAAGATTTCCTTTCGGAGTCCAGGTATTGAAAAACAGGCTCTGTGAAATTGTAATTTCTTGGATTTTGAAGAAAATGGGTATATTTGAGAACCTTCAGCAAAGGATTAAAATATGAGCCCACCTCGCGATCCAAATAATAAAACATGGATTATAATCTTCTGAAACAGTACTTTCATCATTTTAGATCAGAGGTTGTGGTCTTTACAAAATGTTGAAAAACAACTTATATTTTTGGCCATTTTTGAAGAAATTTTCAGGATTTAAGGATAATGACACAATTTATGACGTCATAATACATACACTAGCGAGAAGATTACATCATTTTTAACAGATATGCAATCACCAAGGGTCCAAGTCAAATTTAATGTATTTTCAAGTAAAACTGGGCATTTATGATTTTTATGACGTCGAGCTCTTGGAGCTCGAACGTCATCTAGCAAGTGCCCAGTTGAAATAGCGACCGAATGTGTCAGTTGATGCATCTGCAATAGAAAATAGCAATAGCTATAAACCATATTTCTTTGAAAACGCTCAAAATGAATAATAGCTTGAAAATAAAATTGCATCAATTATATCTGCAATTAATTCCATTGCAAAACAACGATATTATGTTTTATTCTCATACAAGAAAAACGTGATGGTTTTTGCGGACGAATTTCTAGAGAAAGGGTGCATTGAATGACATGAATAACATTTCGGAACAATAACCGTGTAACATAAACAACACAACAGGAGGTAAAATAATTACAAAATTACATAAACACGAATACTACAAGACTAAAAAGATAGAATTTCTAAATCTTAGCTTTACTTATACAATCTTTTAAGCAACGCTATCCTAAAAACCGATGATATTGACCAGTATTACTGTATTTCTCCATTTCCCAGTATACCACGCCCAATCATAACTTGATCGTAATTGTAACAGAACAGAGTCTTGATTGTAGTTTAGATGCAATCGCTAATACAACGTTTTGACATTGGCAATTAGAAAAATATATTTTATAAATTCATGAAATCTTTCATAGTTCTTCAATTGACTGAAAAGAATTTAGCATGAACATGTTCGACGGTGTCTGGTCAATTCGAATCCTGCTCCATTCGGACCATGACATAAGGCCCCAGACTGTAATTGTGATATTTTGTTTAAAACTATTTTTTTTTAATTATGTCTCCAGAGTCACTCACTTGACTTATTGCTATCTTCAAATTCAAAAAGATCTTTTGAAATTGTTTTTCTTGTTCGACATCATTGAAGCCTTTCAGGCTTTTGATTCAGAAATTCACAGGGCCAAAGAGGTCCTAAGTGAACCTTGTTCTTTTGTGTGTCTTCTATAACAAAAAAACTTTAAGACAATGTACAAATTTTGAATTAAGTCTAAAATTGCTTCATGATCTTGGGGCCAGATGTCTAGATCCTATAAGTACTTTGAAATCTATAGGTTATAAAGTTTTACTTACAATATTTGAGGTATGTTGTGCTCAAGGAGTTGTAAGTCTAAATGTGTAGGGCTGTAGCTTACCTTGGTTGGCAGTCTGTGCTATGATTTCCTCCCAAAAAATTATTCCACAAATTGAAATGGCAAAAAAGTATTTTTTCATTGTTTTAGTATATGACTTTTCAAAATGAACTTCTTTTAACTGAATATGCATTTCTGGATATGGACTAAAGACCAATGAATCTTAATGAAGCAATTCATTGTTAAATTGACACAAGGTGATTAAGAGTTTGAAATCCTGATTAATGGGTCATTGTTCACGTAAGACATTTGTCAAATAAACTATAGATGTGACCAAATGCAGAGAGTTTGTCTTCAGGCTGTTTGTGTTGTTGAGCCACTGGACCTACCAGGTACAAGACCATGTCATTGTTTCCTTATGTGATTGGCAGCAATGAATTAAAAAATGTCAAAAATTGGGATGTAATTTACTCCCTTTATCCTCTTTTCAAAGAAATTAAAACAAAAAAGATATGTTAATGCAGTACAAGGGGTTCTTCTTTATATCAAAAGATCTGAAGTCTTCAACTTTATGATTTGATTGACGTGGTTAAAAAGAAAAGAAAGGAGATGCAGAATATTTTACTAACAGATACCCATTATATATGTCTTCAGTTAAACATACATAATAAACACATATAATCCTATAATACTGTTTAAAAAATTTTAAGTTCATGTAAGTGAATACTGTATAGGTCATTAATTTAATGGGTTGTATTTTTCATGTTTTTCTCACTTCTGACATGATTTTGGTTGATTATATTAACAGAATTTACATAAAATAAGTAACTTGCATTATTATATTGCAAAGGAGAAATGATAATTCTGTATTAAATGTTTCACTCAAATCAACCCTGCTTTTGTCAACAAGATGTATTAATTAACTACATAAACTATACTCAGGGTTTAAATTAAGTGTTCAGTATATTTGATCACTCATTAAAAGTCATGTTTAATGGGCTGAAGTATGGAGAAATTAATTTCAAACCCCCTCAATTTGATTTGCTGTTGGTCCTGCAGCAATGTTAAAAGAAGCTTTTGTATTTCCATCTGCTGCCAAAGTAATAAATTGTGGATGAAATTCAACATTTCATTGTTTCAATTTGTTAATAATTCAAGTTATTTGAATTGAATAGCATATAATGTTGATAAAAAGAATATGCACCACTGCTTGTGGTTATGTTGTTTGTTAAGTGTAATCAAGGCAGACAAACCTTGTGTTTTATTTGATCAAACCAATACATCGAGTCACAGTTAAGTACATGGAGCTGTTAATCTGCTGGAAAACATTGAATTAAATAATTAATTGTAATTAAATGAAAATTAATTACTTCTTGTAATTACTGAATGGCTATGTAATACTGGTAATCATGCAGGAATCACATTTTAAAAAAAAAAAAAAAAAAAATTATTGAAAACTTATCAACGCATGCAGTTTCTTGAATTCACAGATTTATTAACACCATGAATATAGTGAATACACCGCAAGTTATTTACGAGATGAATTTAATTTTTTAGAATTCATGAGGACATGAACTACGAGACTTCACGCCGGCATATTTCATGAAGCATTGGTGCTTCATGATAAATATGGAGATGTGAAGCATTGTAGTTCATGTACCTCATGAATTCTCAAAAATTAAATTCATATCTTATGTTTACATTATTTTTCTGGTGACTTTCCACATATTTTTGTCATTCAATGATCATTTTTGAAAAAAAGTTTGCACTATTTTTTGACTTCAATCACATCACAATGGAAATATTCTTACTCATCCCACGGTAGTTCATGAGAAAATGAACTTTTTCTAATTTGCAAAGAATCTTAAGAAAAAATATTTGGAAATGTAAATATTTTCCCCTTATACAGATTGTTACTGCAAACATTAACCTATATTTATGAAAAAAAAAACTCAACATTTTGTTCAATCCTGTTGTCATTTTGAGAATCATCTTTAATCTTTAAACCATTTAACAGGGGCATTATCTGTGTAATTCATGTTAATATCACCTTGGATGGTAAAGGGTGAATTAAAAAAAAATGACCAAATGCATATTTATCAACCCACACTAAAAATACATACAATGAAAATAGATTTCTATGTCTCAGCATATGTCTTTAGATAGTGTCTAAATACCTGCCAAATATCTCGTTGATATCTCAATTAACAAAAAAGTTATGCCCAAAAATGATGCTAAAATTGTCAGGAGTGCAACACCTTTTTGTGACATTTTGAAATTTCAATATTTTTTGGAGATCTGTGAAATAAAAAATAATGCTTCATGTTGAAAATAAAGACTTTCCTGATAATATTCAAAGTATTGAGCTTTAAATGTGGACTGTCATAACTTTTGTTTAATCAAGTTGTGGTCGTGGCTGATGTTTAAAAAAATGTTATACCATGTCAGGAGTGCAACAGAAAAAATGTAGTGTTGCCAAAAAAACATCAATTGTAAAATTCTCATAGAAAATTAAGACAAAAAAGAATTTTGGAAGTGTAAAATAATAACTGATATACATTTTAAAACTTAAAAATGTTATATAAATCACAAGCAGCATTAATGAGAGTCAAGTATATGTGCATACCCAAAAATGTCAGGAGTGCAACATTTGATGTTTTGCTCCCAAGCATAAAAAAACTATTATCATTATATGATTTTCTGATTTTTATTTTGGAAAATAAAGACACTAAGAACATTTTTACCAAATAGATTTATCAATTACAGGATCTGTCTGTGCTTCAGATCCATATTTCTATGGTCAGGAGTGCAACACATTTTTTTAAAGATTCAAGTTGTGTGAAGAAAAGACTTCTATTCATGCTTAGAAGTATTCATTAATTAATAATGATCTTTTTGTATAATTCAATGCTAAATTATTGACATTTTTATTATTAAAATCCTTCCTTTTTCAATTTTATCAATTCAGATGTGTTTTTATCTTTTTTGTGATTTTTTTAATGAACGTTAAAAATAAACACACTAAGACATTGTCATTAAATTCAAGTAATTCCTCCTCAACTTCACTGAAACAACAGAACAAGTTCTTATGTAATTTTCACTTCACAATTCTACTTTAAAGGCACCAATGCTTTTGGTCAGGAGTGCAACAAATATGTTAGAATTATAAATCATCCAATAAGAATAAAAATAAAGAAAAAATGATGAGTAGAATTTTTCTGGGGGGTTGCTGTGTTTGTCCTCTAAAGGAAAATATGCTTTAAAATATATTTTATCTTCTAAATATACATTTAAGCTAGTTTTTTGGGCATAAAATAGGGTATAATTCCAGATAAAATGTGAATTTTAAATACTTTCATCTGTTTATTTATGAAGTATTGGACTATAAGTATTGCACAATTTCATTACCACTTGATGTTGCCAACACTTTATGAATTTTTGTGTTCTATGGTTTTAATTTTAAACTTTACTGCAGTCAGGAGTGCAACAAAACTGGTTCATAATTACCGATGCTTTTTAACTATCTTTACTAAAAAATAAGTTGAAAAAAAATGCTTGATACTATTTGATGTTCAAAACACTATGGCTATCAACAAATAACAGAAAAATTACAGTCAATTCAGGGAATATTTTTCATCATTTCACATATATTTTAAATACAATTTATATATATTACACTTTGCAAATAATCATGTTTTAAGGTCTTCAAAATATGAAAAACCTGCTGTAAACGATGAAAAATATCAACACGACAAATTGATTTACAAAGTAAGAATGGGTTATTGTGTGTTATGATTTTTAAAACAATGTTAAATAAAATACATATCAGATGTCAGGAGTGCAACACAATAATGAAACATAGGGTCACTTCAAAATCTAGTATTTTTTGTAAGAGAACTCGTATATAACAATTCTTTTTTGGCCTAGATTTAAAGAATTGACTTGAACGGACAAAAAAGTGAACTTGGGGAATTTTATTGCTTCATATTTTTTTCATATTAAAACTTTTCAAACCAGAATTGAAAAAATAATGTAAAATAACAATCAAAAAGCCATTTTTTGTCACACGTACAAGAGAAGATACTCATTCAAGGTCTAGATTTAATCATTTATACCCCTTTTACCATTTTGAAACATAAAAAACTATAATTTCTTGTGATTATGTATTTTAGAAAGTCTTTCAAGGTGTAATGATATTTTCTTTTTTCAAAAGAAATTTTACTAATAAAAATTCTGAAACTTTTTAATCCAATTGTCTATTCCATTGCCACTTCAGGATTTTAAACTAGAATGCATTTGCAATATGATGATATAAGTGAAAAATATGTTATAAGTAGTTGAATTTTGCCAAAAAAAATTCAGTTTGGTGGTCATTTTTTTTTAATTCACCCTAAACAAAGAAATGTTTCACTACATTTCTTCATGGCCAGAGGAAAAAATTATGGACTTGTACTTCAAAGCTCTGGAAAACAATCGCATTTGATTCAATAAATAGATAAGATTGATTAAAAAATATAGCTTCTGTCGTATGAATGCCATAGGCAAGGGAGCTAATCCCTGTTAAGACACAGACAATTGGCAGCAGTTAAGCAGTTATCTATCATGGATGAAGAAAAGACCAAACTTGCAGGCAGTGTATATGCATAGTAGCTTTCACTTTTAAAGTGTTAAATTTCTTGTTGATTGTATTACTCCTAGGCATTTTCCAATCACATTTATTGTGTATTGTAGTATTAGAGTCCAATTGTATTGGAACTGACACAGAATAATAAGAATTTGTTGCTAATAACATCCCTCCCCCAATTTACACAGATTTTATTTTAACATGAATTTTAGCCTAGTTGTATAGTTAAAAGAATTTTTTTTGGGGGGGGGGGGGGTAAAAGATGGTAATTTAATTAAATCTCAGATGATTTGATTTCTAAAGATACGATAGCCTGTAGTGCTAAGTTTACACACAAAATTCATAGTAAGTCAATGCCTGGTGAGCAGAAATTTTTTGATCTTTAATTGATATGAATTTATTTTTTTTTTTCAAACTCGTTTGTTGTAATTAACTCTTTTAAAAAAAATCAATAGTTTTAGAGATATTATGAAACGGAGTGTGAGAAAGATCAGTCCATTATATGAAAGTGTTGAATATCAGATTATCTTAATTCACTACCTACTTATGTAGAATAATAAATAATAATAGAAAAAAAAATGAAGGTCATTCCGATGATATTATGAATTTATTTTTTGTTTCACATATGACCTAATTTATATTTTTAAAAAATTGAAAGAATTTGCCAAAAGCATCAAAGTTTTGCATTGGTTTATATAAGAAAAATCTTCTCAAAAACAGCAAGGCAATGATTTGTCTTTTTATTTTGTAGTGCAGATTCAAATTCATTAAAAATCTAAAGGGGGAGGGGGCATAGAATGGAATAAACATTTACTTGGGAATATAATTTAGAAAAATACAAAATAACTTTTGTAAGAGAAGAGGGCAACACAAATAGTATTAATATGAAAACATCCAAAGTTGTGTTTAAGTTTTTCAAATTTCAGTTATGGAGGTGCCGGCCATGTGGTTAGGATGGAGGAAAAATAAAATTTTACATAATACGTGTAAACAGGGAATAAATCTTAAGTTTAGAGCACTAATGCCATATTAGTCATATTGATAACGAAGCATTTATTTATTGGTTAAGGCATGATGCATTGGGCTAGAATGGGGCCACATTATTGGGTTAGAAATTTTTCCTGGGAATAAATTATGAAGATTTTTTTTTCAATCTGATGAAAAACAGAAGGGCCAGTGTGACTCAGGTAAGCATTAAGGCCCATGGGCCTCTTTTTTTTCTGAATGCCTATATATGCTCAATGTTGATATCAAGCCCCAGCTGCTTTTTAAGTCGATAAAAGCAAAGCAAACAACAAGCATTAGAAGAAGTATGAAGTTTATTATACTGTGAAATTGCAGCATTACTAAATCTTTCTTTCAAAATAAAAATGTTTAAATAATTTGACAGGTTAGTGGTGAGAAGGTGAGCAAGGTTAGCCTGGTAGATTTGGCAGGCAGTGAGCGTGCCCAGAAAACTGGTGCCGTCGGAGATCGATTGAGGGAGGGAAGTAACATAAATAAGTGAGAATCAGTTTGTGTGATTTATCAATAGTTTTTCTACACATAGGAATTCTTTATTTTATCAAAAAATAGAATCAAAATTGAAAATATATAATACAAGGATGCATTTTAATGAAATAATTGAAAGAAATATTTTAAAAGAACTGAATTTCAGGTCACTGACAACATTGGGTCTAGTCATCTCTGCATTAGCCGACCAATCAGCTGGCAGCAAGAAGAAGGATAAGTTTGTTCCATACCGAGACTCTGTCTTAACATGGCTACTCAAGGTCTGAGGCACTTCAGTTGAACATTTAAAATTTACTTTTATAAAAAATCCAAATTTAATGAATGATAAACTCAAATATAGAACACAATGAAATAATGATATAAAGGTTTTCCAGTTATCTTGGATGAACTGTATTGAAAATAAAATGCAGAATAATTTGTTTTCCCCCAAAGATTAGTCATTATTTACAAGATCAATAGAGGCAAAGTTGTTAACCACTATTGACAAGTCCAAACATTCAATATAGTAGAAGTGAAAACCATAGATGTGTTTAAAACTCAGTTAGATTAATATTTTATTGTTGACTGCACTACAGGATAATCTTGGAGGGAACAGTAAGACAGTGATGGTGGCTACCATTTCCCCAGCAGCTGATAATTATGAAGAAACCTTGTCAACTCTGCGGTATGCTGACCGTGCTAAGAAGATTGTGAACCATGCAGTGGTCAATGAGGATCCTAATGCCCGGATCATACGAGATCTCAGGGACGAGGTGGATATGCTCAAACAACAGCTCAATGAAGCTCAGGTAGAAATAAGCTCAAATACTATCTCAGGAGACCTGTATAGTAGCTGTAATTTCCTGATTGTAATTCACTCAGTGTGAGATGTTAAGGTTCAAACTTAAACTTTGGGAGGGTCAAATGTAAGCATCTGTTAAATTCTAGCACAAATTATCATTCCCTTTTATTATTACTCCCTGACAATGCCCCAAAGAAGTTCAGGCTTCAGGGCCATAAAACTTGGACAAGCTCAGTTTTGATCTCAATCTCAGTTTTACAAAAGGAACAATATATTGGAAAAGTGAGAACTGAGATCAAAAGAAAACTAATCGAAGTTTTATGGTCAGGGAAAAACTCGCACTTTACTTCATAATGGGCAAAGACGATTTCTTGTAAAAGCAAGAAAAATTGCCAAGCTTATTCATCAATTACAGAGCCTGTGTTCGTTGCCAGAGCAAAAGAAGACATATATCACAAAAACTAAAAACAATATAAGTTAATTCTAGTTATCACTTGATCAGTGACAATAAACATTTATAATTTCTTTATGCATGTTGCTGTGCTGGAGGTGCTTGACGATGTAACGACGGCATCATGTTGACATTACTGAGTGTTATACTACTCTTTTTCTTTGTGCATGCTGTTGAATCCAGTGCATGTCCATTGCTTTTAAAACCTTTTTTTCATGTTTTTGGCACAGGTCACTTTTTATCAGTATTACAACATAAAACATAGCAGAGTAAACCAAAATATCTCAACAATCTAGAAAAAGGAGAAGTTCTGTATCAGATATCTCAATTTTTTTTCTGATCACCATGAAAATGGTGAGGGAAGGACTTTCAATACTGGAGAAGTTGACTCTACACATATTTCCCTTTTATCTCAAGAGAATGTGAAGTAAGGTAGAAATGTACATTACACAACTACTTTTGGCCTATTCTGAGTATGAAGGTTCCCAAGTGTGCTTTAATGTGCGTCAATCTTTCTATCACTACTTTTTAGCCAGGTCCATTCAAAGAAGATTTTTGATGCCGTAAAAAGTGCAGAAAAATGACTTAATGGAGTCTTTTTCATTAGCAGATTAATTTAGTATTCATAATGACAATAATATATTATATTGCAATTCAAAGTTCATTTTTTAAAAAATTATTTACCAGAGCATGCAGGCTCCAGCACTACAGGATAGACTTCAGGAATCAGAGAAACTTATCAAAGAAATGACAAAGACCTGGGAGGAGAAACTGGCAGAGAAGGATAAGATTAACCAGGTAATTAACCAACAAACTCAGGATAAAATAACTAGGCAATTAAGCAGCAAACTTGGATAGATAAATAACAGTTTAATTAACAAGCAAACTCAGGGAGAGTTATTTAACTTGGCATTCCTGCAGATAAATTAATAACATTGTTATTAGTAAGCAAAGTCAGAGATTATGATAAAAACAGAATGTTTTTACCAAGTGGACAGAAGATTACATGTATCCCCAAAACATCAATGTGGGCTTGTTAAACTTGAAAAGTTGGAGGGGGGGGGGGGCAAATGAACCCAAGGGGTTTAAATGTTGTAAACAAGTTTGGGGACTAAGTTTTAAATGTCTGTTATTTAATACCCCGGACTTTGTGTAATCAATAAATAACATTTGTTGAGGTCTTTGATTACTAGCTGTGTTTGTTTTTCTTACAGGAGCGACATGAAGCATTAGAGAAGATGGGTGTGTCAGTGCAAACCTCTGGGATAAAAGTGGAGAAAGGAAGATGTTTCCTTGTCAACTTGAATGCTGATCCTTCCTTGAATGAGCTGCTGGTGTATTATTTGAAGGTAAGGTCCACCCCCGATCAAATGATAGGTCATCCTTTCAGTACTGTCTGTGCAGTTATTTTACCAGATTCATATTCTCACAAAATCATTACTTAATCTTGTAAAGGGGGCAATTTTATTTTTCAGGCAACATTATTTTATAAAGTGTAAATTCAAATCCATTATTGCAATACTGTGTTGTTTTAGATGATTATATAATTCTTAATATTTTTAAATTATGATTTTAATGACTTATTTACACAAATTTTTCTGATTATCTGTGAATACAAATTTTTAGTGTGACATCACAATGACTTGAAACAAGTGAGATATGCTCCTCTTAGCTAGTGTGAAACAAATGGGAGGATCATGGATCTTCAAATTTTTTTGTCTGTTTTCTGTACTAAACACTTCCCTTTTTCATATCATATATGGTACCAATTTTGATGCACCAGATGTGCATTTCGACAAATTATGTCTCTTCAGTGATGCTCATGCTCCCGCACTAAAGGAATGAGGTTTGTGTGTTCTACTACGATGACAATATCTTTTGTTGCAAACAATGCATATTTTGCCATTTTGCTTTAGAAAGTTTGGGACAGTGACAGTGCACGTGCAACATTGCACTTTGAAATGTGACGTCGAACAGGAATAGTCTGCAATGTATTTACATTAATTGTTGCATTTATCTGGTAACTGTTGGAATTAAGTGTTCTTACAGCTGTAAATATATTTGTTAAGTGCTTGCAGTTATTGTAATGAATATGCATTGGTATGTATTTTTGCTCTCTGTGAGTTATTATCTTGAGGAAATTAGTATCTGAAGTCTTCATATATGGAAACTTATGGCTAAGCATTGTTGACTGTGATAAATGGATTTCTTGAACCTGGATGGAATTTATAGTGATAGCGATGCGATCATAGCTATAAGTTAAAAGTCAAGCACTTCAGAGATTACCTGTACCTGTTAACTTACTTAGATGAAAAAAAAAAACGAGATTGAGCTCCAGGTTCGAATTACATGATATCTTAAAAACCAATGAGATTTTATGACCGAGTGGCTTCAAAAAATGGCTATCCAAGCAAACCAAAAGTGAATTTTGTAGAAAAATGGTAGATTTTTAATAAAAGAAATAAGGGGTAGATTGACTGAAAAAGCTTGGTAGACTTCACCTAAAGCAGTAGAATTAATATGTGTGGTTGGAACTCCAATAGGGTATCACATGGGTGTTTATTGGAAACATTTTTAAGGACATTGGCAAGGTTCCTGATTATCATATAGAATTTTTCAAGAACTCTTGAGTAGGTTTAGATGTAATAAACAGGCTATATTCTGGATCATTTAACCTACCAATTAAGCCAAGCTTCTTTTTTAGATTTTGTCAAATCTGTGTTTTTACAATTCTCAATGCATTTCCTATGTAAAATGTTGATAAAAGGGACCTACATAATTTGTCACCATAATATTTCTCCAAAACCCGCTTATTTCATATAATTTTTGTATTATATACATTATTGTATCTTCATTTCCTATGACTTCTAGATATTTTGGCTGAAAATGTATATATAGAAACAAGACATGGGCATACCGGCATCGATCATGTATTTTTGAGTTGCTTCCCTTAACAGCTAAAATTGATCAAGAGACTGGTTCATTGCTTCTATCATGTAATTGACTGAATTGCTGAAACGTATTGTCATAAAATTATTGGCATGGATTTATTTTCAACTTTTATTCGTAGTTAATTATTGGTGCTACCTTCACACCTTAGAACTGTTCTCAGTCGGCCTACCTTTCAGATGTCACATCTTTGTCCTTCCCAGCATACTGAGCATAACTATGGTAAATGACGACCTGCTGGCTCTTTGTCCCTGAATACTATGTTCAACAAAGCCATTATTACTTTTCTTTCTTGCTGTATAGATGATTCTACCCGTTGAAGGAAGTACACATGCTTTTGTTTACCTCTGTAACATATGCTTTATTGGTTTTCACCGCTTAGAGAATTCTACTCGGGAGATCACTTTCAATCACTATTTTGTAAGTGAAAAAACCCATGTATTAAACCTTTTTTCTCCAGAAACCCCTGACTTGCCAATGTCCTTAAACATGAAATAAATTTCTCTAATAGGCATACTAGAAGGTAGAAACATTGAATTTAAAAGTTCTTTCTTTCTTTACTCTTACAATTTTTTAACCAATTTTATATCATAAAAATTGAAGAATGAACCTCCAATATTGAGTTTCAAAGTACATGTATACTGTGTACCACACCCGGTTATACAATAATACAGTGTTTCCTTCCTAGTACTTCAGTTGAAAAAAAATTAAGAGATAAGTTAATTATTCAACAACATAAACAGGCATTTATTTATTTATTTTTTACTTTTGATGTCTGTTTAATTTGGACCCTTTTCAGTTAGGACCATAGCATAAGGCCCTCCACTAAAATTGTGATGTTTTGTTTACAATGTTTAATTTCATATTTAATTCAAAAGAATATTTGAAATTGTTTTTTACATGTATGTTCGATGCTTTTGAAGCCTTTCAGGGTTTTAATTTAAGGTGTTAATTTATGTACTTTTATTGTTGTTACATTCAAACTTAAATAACCTTGCTTCACAAAGAATTATCGTGTGAATTTGCATCAAAAGACATCCAAGGACTGTCCTACTCAAAAATGATAGAAATAAGAATTCTTTGTTTTTGATCATGTTTCAGGACATGTATTCTGAGAAATATCCAAATTTTCTGGTTTGACTGTGACGAGTCAAGTGACAAAAATGCTATTGAGTGCCATTTTCTACACATTTTATCCATTTTTAGGTTTGTATGCTGATACATTTTGATTAGTGCTACTGACCTGCATCAAGATTTTTTTTTACCTTTACCTTCCCTTTGACCTTGACCTCACTTTTCTTAAATTTGCCTTTAGCTTAGTTTCATGGAAACTATTCCAGATATTTTCATGTAAGCTTATGCACTGATACATAATTTGGTGAGAATATATCAACTGTGTCCAAATATTTTAACCTTGACATTCCCAAATGACCTTTGACTTTACTGTTTATTGTGTTTAAAACTCAGTTTTAAGGAAACATACAGTTGAATTTCAGTATCTCGAACACAGATATCTCGAATACCATGAGTATGTCGAATTAATCTGGAAGTCCCAAGTACTTTTTCTTTAAGTATTTTACCTTCAATATCTCAAACCCTTGGATATCTCAAAGTTTTTTCTCGGTCTGATCAGTCAAACAAAGTTTGACTTTATTTAAGGTATTTTCATCAAACTCCATACGCTAATTCAAATTTTCATATTGCATTACTAATGAGCCCTGGCTGGGGCATTAATGTCCTATGGACATATTTCTAGTTTTCTCTAAAATAGATGAATAAAAATTATGACTTTGATGGTTTCTGCCTTTCTGGAGCCTGAATAGTGTGACCAAACCATCAAAGTTAATGCAATCTTCAAAATCTCAAATCCTGGATATTTAGCAGGCAAACTATTGGCATGACTGTAACAAACAATGAGCCCTTTACCGAAATTGTGAAATTCATGAAAAAAAATCTGATAAAGAACAGCAGGGCCAGTGCAACCCAGATGAGCATTTTGGCCAATGGGGCTATTGTTAAGATTTACTGCAGGGATTTTTTTAAAATCAGTTTTTTTGTCTTCCTACTTTGATGAAATCTCTTTATTAAAACAGAGTGCTTAAAGATTATTAAGGTTTTTCTTTTTCTGGTAAAATAATTATCCTTGAGTGGAACTTGGGAGATTTATGTAGACAGTTAAAAAGTAATATTGGAAGCAATTTGAAACAGAGGACATCTTCTGTGTAGATCTTGATTTTCCCCTAACTGATCTGTCCCTGTGAGATCCCAGGTTGTCAGGTGAGGAAGATATAGGGAGATGTTAATAAAAAGTTCATAAGAAAATCTAAATGAAAGTTTAAACCATGGAAGCTTAAATGTTTTTCCCCAGGAATTTTATCAAAAACTGCAGGATGAATTACAGATTCTGAGCTTAGATTAAAGTTGTATTGATCGGCTCTCCCGTAAACAGCACATAGATTGTCATGTGGACAGAGATTTATGTTTTTTTCCAAAATGATCAGAAAGAAAATTGAGATAGATAAATGAGTGTTAAGGACTCTCTTTTGCCTGTGATATATTCTCCTGAAGGATAATTTCAGAACTGTAAGCAGTGTCCTTTCAGATACACTCTGAAAGCTGTGGTTATCCCCCATTATCTATAAAAATGAAGGGAAAAAAAGATAAAACCAATTATTGTTTTTAAATTTCATTTTAGAATTAGGCAGAAAAAGATTATGATGAAATTAAGATAAAAGATAACCTATATATGGGAAATTTCAGTTTAGATTTATAAGGGAAAATAACATAAAATCAGGAAGATCAAATGTAAGATAAATGTGTACAAGGAAATTAACATTATACCCCCACAACAAAGTTTTGGGAGAGGTTAAATTGGAATCACCATGTCTCCTGTCTGTAAACATACTTTGTCCGAAGTTTATCTCTGAAACATGCTATTTGATATTTCATATGCCCCGCCATGAATATGACCAGGGCATAGTGTTTGTCAAGCCTATCTTCTGTCCTGTCTTCCATCCTTCCATCTGTACATCTCTCACACTGCGTCCAGCTCAGTTTCAAAGAAACTATTCAAGATATTTTATCAAACCTTATGTCGTAGTAGGAGTAGGGAGTACCATTTTGATTTGAGCTCAGTGCTCAGAGTACCTCTAGTTTTGTAATGAAATAACTTGTGATCATACTTGCCCTCAGAGTTGATACGTCATAACACTGAACAAAGGTCATTTATAGACAAAGTCAGGGTCACTGAGATAGGTATTTCCACCATCAACCAATACATCTCAGCAATATTTGGGCAATGGGAATTTTCAGTAAATTAATGTTTTAGCAAGATGGCAGAATTCTTCTTTAAACCACTTTCAACTTAGCCTTGTGGGGGTATTAATACATGTAATAGGAA